GCCGCCCGATGCGCCCCAGAAGTCGCTCCGCCCCCCCCCCCCGCCCCCCTCCCCCTCAAAACTCTTCCGCGCTCCTGGAAAAACCATGCCGCCGCGGCGGGAGCTCGGGCCGCGGCCTGATGGTCTCCGGGGCACAGGGGAATCAAAGGAATCAGTACGGAATCAGTGCAGAATCAAAACAGAATCGGCACAACTGCGACCCCTGATTCTAGCGGAATCAAAAGAATCAGCACGGAATCAAAGGTGGAATCGGCGATGGAACCAGAATCGGCCAGAACGGGGAAGTAGGCCAGAATCGGTGCCAGAACTCATGCAGAGAGGCATTTTTCCCGCGAGTTCACTGCGGCGGGTGCGCGGCGCGGGCGCGCCGCGCGACTTCGCTGGTTCAGCGAGGCGCGCAGTCGGCGTTCAGAGTGAACAGGTTCTCTTCAGGGCGATAGATATCCTGGCGGCGCGCTGGCGCATTGCGCATTTGCGCATTCCTGGCGGGCTGTTTGAGGGCGACCCGGCAGCGTCGGCCGAAGGGCCCGCAAATACCGCGCGGCCGATCGCGCGCCCCGTGCGGCCACGTCGACCGCCGTGTGCCGCGACGGCCGCGCGCCCCGGACCGCGCCATTGCCGCGTTGGATTGGACGGCGCAGCGCCCGTCCTCCAAAAGTCGTCACATGCATATCGCGCGTGTCGAGCCAGCAGCAATCGCTCCCAGAAGCAGCCTCGACAGGCGCACCATGCCCTCTGTCGCCCGGTTCCGATCCAAATCATAGTTTCTTAGGATGCGCTTGCGCGAATGTGAGCGCGCGGGCAAGTAACGCGTGCGCGCTTGGCGCAGCCTGGGAAATCCAACATGGAGCCCCCCGGGGGCGCGGGGCGCCGGCGACGCCTCCGCCCGCCTCCCGCGCGCCCGACCCCCCCCGCAAGCCGACTCCTCCTACGTCTGACGTCGTCGGAGGCCGTTTGGGGGGCCTTTCTGGGCTGACTTGGCGCCCTCTTGGGGTGCTCCAGGGCCGTCTTGGCGGCCATCTTGGGCGTCTTGGAGGCCTCTTGCTCCGTCTTGGGGCCTTCTTTGGGGCCTCTTGGACCATTCTGAGGCCAACTCTGGGGCGTCTTGGGGCGATCTTGGGGGGCTCTTGGGGCGTCTCGGGCCGTCGGAACGCCGAAAAGGAGTAAACCCCAAAACCCTTCAAAAAAATTTGGAAATCAATGACTTGGGCCTCGTCGGGCCTTCCTGGAGGTCTTGGAAGCTTTTTGGGCCGCCTTGGAGACCTCTTGGGAGCTTCTTGGGCCGTCTTAGGCCATCTTGGAGCCATCTTGGGCCGTCTTGGTGGGCTCCTGGTCCGTCTGACGTCGTCGGAAGCCGTTTTGGCGGCCTCTCTGGGCCGATTTGGGGCCATCTTGAGGTGTTGCAGGGCCGTCTTAGAGGCCATCTTGGGCGTCTAGGGGGCTTCTCGGGGCGGTCTTGGGGGCCTCTTGGGCCGTTATGGGACGAGTTTGGAGGCCTCTTGGGAAATCCTTCCTTTAGCCTAGTCGGGCCTTCCTGAAGGCCCTCTTTGGAGCCCCGTGGGCCGTCTTGGAAGCCTTTTGGGGCCTCTTGGGCCGTTTTGAATCATCTGGAGGCCATACTGGGCCGTCTTAGGTGCATCTTGGGCCGTTTTGGAGGCGTCCTGGAGCCATCTCAGCCGTTTTGGAAGCCATCTTGGAGGCATATGGGCGGCCATCTTGGACCAGCTTGGCGGTCTTGAAAGCCGTTTTGAGCTGTCTTGGGATATTTTTCCGAGAGTTCGGCAAATTGCACTCCCTTGCGGTGGACCGGCGGGACGGGCCGGAGCCCCAGGGAAAGTTCTTTTGGAAAAAAAACAAAACCAAGCCGTCTAGTGTCCAGCACGCCCAGCACCCTTGTGGCAAGACCAAGGGGCGGCGGATCGAAGACGCCTACGGCGAATCACCGCCGCCCCCTGCCTTCGTGGAAGCGCCTATGTGGCCGAACGTGGCCAGACCTGCCAAGCTATCGGACCATGTGTCCCCCGAATCGATTTGGAAAGCCTTCGGGGACCACGTGGGCATCTTGAAGGTCATTTTGGCCGCTTGGATGCCATTTTGACCCTTTCGGGCCTTCTTGGAGGACGTCTTGGAGGGCTCGTGGGCCGTCTTGGAGGCCATCTTGAGCGTTTTGGAGGCCTCTTGGGCCGTCTTGGGGGCCTCTTGGGGCCGTCCTGTGCGATCTTCGTGGGCACTTGGGCCGTCTCGGGCCGTCGGAAGGCCGAAACAAAAGCAAATGCCACAATCTTTCAAAAACTCTAGGGAAATGAATGCTTTTGGCCTTTTCGGGCCTTCCTGGAGGCCCTCTTGGAGGCGTCTTGGGCCGTCTTGGGCCATCTTAAGGCATCTTCGGCCGTCTTCGGCCGTTCCTGGCACGTCTGACGCCGTCGGGAGCCGTCTTGGGGGGCCTCTGGGCCGACTCGGGGCCCTCTTGGGGCGCTTCGGGGCCGTCTTAGAAGCCATCTTGGGCATCTTGGATGCCTCTTGGCCCGTCTTGGGGCCCTCTTTGGGCCGTCTTGGGGGCCTCTTGGGCCGTCATGGGGCCATCTTGGAGGCCTCTTGGGCGATCTTGGGGCGACCTCGGGGGCCTCTTGTGCCGTCTTGGGCCGTCGGAAAGCCGACAAGGCGCAATTACCAAACTCCTTCAAAAAGCCTAGGAAATTCAATGATTTGGGCCTCTTCGGGCCTTCCTGGAGGACCTCTTGGAGGCCTCTTGGGCCGTCTTGGAGGCCTCTTGGGATCCTCTTGGGCCGTTTTGGGCCATCTTGAGGCCATTTTAGGGCGTCTTGGGTGCACCTTGGGCCGTCTTGGAGGCATCTTGGGGCCATCCTAGCCGTCTTGGAGGCCATCTTGGCCCTCTTGGAGGCGTCTTGGAGACCATCTTGGACGATCTTGGGGACCGTCTGGAACGGAAAAACCCTTCGCAACCGGGTCCGGGCAAATTTTCGGCATCCTTCCGGGTGGCCGGCGGGACGGGCCGAAGCCCCAGGGGGAGTTCTTTTGGAAAAAGAACCAAAACCAAAACCGAGAGGGTCCAGCACGCCAGGCACCCCTTCGATGAATCGACAGGGGGCGGCGGATCGAAGACGCCTACGGCGAATCACCGCCGCCCCCTGCCTTTGTGGAAGCGCCTATGTGGCCGAACCTTGAGGCCAGACCTGCCAAGCTATCGGACCATGTGTCCCCCGAATCGGTTTGGAAGACCTTCGGGGAACACGTGGGCATCTTGAAGGTCATCTTGGCCGCCTGGAGGCCATTTTGACCCTTTCGGGCCTTCTTGGAGGACGTCTTGGAGGGCTCGTGGGCCGTCTTGGAGGCCATCTTGAGCGTTTTGGAGGCCTCTTGGGCCGTCTTGGGGGCCTCTTGGGGTCGTCTTGGGCGATCTTCGTGGGCATTTGGGCCGTCTCGGGCCGTCGGAAGGCCGAAAAAAAGCAAATGCCACAATCTTTCAAAAACTCTAGGGAAATGAATGCTTTTGGCCTTTTCGGGCCTTCCTGGAGGCCCTCTTGGAGGCGTCTTGGGCCGTCTTGGGCCATCTTGAATCTTAAGGCCATCTTCGGCCGTCTTGGTGGGCCCCTGGCACGTCTGACGCCGTCGGGAGCCGTCTTGGGGGCATCTCCGACTTGGAGCCCCTCTTGAGGCGCTTCGGGGCCGTCTTAGAGGCCATCTTGGGCGTCTTGGATGCCTCTTGGCCCGTCTTGGGGCCCTCTTGGGGCCGTCTTGGGGGCCTCTTGGGCCGTCATGGGGCCATTTTGGAGGCCTCTTGGGGGCCTCTTGTGCCGTCTTGGGTCGTCGGAAAGCCGACAAGGCGCAATTACCAAACTCCTTCAAAAAGCTTAGGAAATCAATGATTTTGGCCTCTTCGGGCCTTCCTGGAGGACCTCTTGGAGGCCTCTTGGGCCGTCTTGGAGGCCTCTTGGGAGCCTCTTGGGCCGTTTTGGGCCATCTTGAGGCCATTTTGGGGCGTCTTGGGTGCACCTTGGGCCGTCTTGGAGGCATCTTGGGGCCATCCTAGCCGTCTTGGAGGCCAACTTGGCCCTCTTGAAGGCGTCTTGGAGGCCATCTTGGACGATCTTGGGGACCGTCTGGAACGGAAGAACCCTTTGCAACCGGGTCCGGGCAAATTTTCGGCATCCTTCCGGGTGGCCGGTGGGACGGGCTGAAGCCCCAGGGGGAGTTCTTTTGGGTCCAGCACGCCAGGCACCCTTTCGATGAATCGACAGGGGGCGGCGGATCGAATGGCCTTCGGCCCATCCCGCCACCGTGCCTGGGTTATGGGTATGAAGCACATTGGATGTTCGTTGGGATCTCGTGAGATGCTTCTCGGAGGCCTCTTGGAGGCAATTTGGACGCCCCAAAGGCCTCTTTGGAGCCTCTTGGGGGCCTCTCTTGGTGGCCTCTTGGACATCCTCGGTGCCTCTGTTGGCCTCCTTGGGGCCTCCTGGGGCGGAAGACTAGGATTTTCTGTTCGTATTACCTCTTTTTGGCCCCTGTGGAGCCGTCTTGGGGCTCTCCTGGGCTGTTTGGAGCGCCTCTTGAGCTGTCTTAGGGCCTCTTGGGCAGTTTCGGCGCCCTCTTGGAGGCTTCTTGGGGCGGTCTTGGGGGCCTCTAGGGCCGCCTGGGAGCGCCGGGAAGCCGAAAAGGTGAGAACGCCACAATCCTTCAAAAACCTAAGTAAAATTAATGATGTTAGCCTCTTGGGGCCCTCTTGGGAGGCCTCCTGGAGGCCTCTTTGGGCGTCTTGGAGGCCTCTTAGGCCGCCCTGGGGGCCAGCTTGAGCGACGTGGAGCGATCGTTCGGCGACTCGGGGCCCTATTGGATCGCATTGGGGGCTTCTTGGGGCCCTGTGGGCCCGTCTTGGGGCCCTCTTGGTAAAGACTCTTCAGGAGTGAGGACGGAGGCTTAGAGGGGTAGTGAGAGGACCTGAGGACACGCCCACTCCGTGCCCAGAGGCACGGTGGCAGATCATAGTGTTGGGAAAAGAACTACGTTTTTGAACACTCTTGAGCTCTTGACCTTGGTATTCACGCTTGTCAACTGGGCCGCAATGGTGCTGGACATCATCGCAGGAGTTTCGGCGCTGTCTACCAAGCTTGCGCTGGTGTCTGCTGAGAGTGCAGCGGTGATCAGGCCATCCACCAGAAGTGACAGAAAAAGTACGATTGGTGATACGGAGTGGGCGGAGATGCAAAGTGGTGGTAGGAGCATGACAGGGCACCCATTGCGACGCGACGTGTTCCCAGTGTCAGTATACGACTACCTCGCTTGGCTGGGTCAGTTCTTTATCACAGTTCATTCAATCATCTACGCGGTCGAGCCGACAGGAGTTTCAGACACGGGCACGGCTATGCTCTCGGTCGGGATAGTGCTGGTGTGGCAGTCCTCAATGCATTTGTGCCTTGCTTTCAAGCACTTTGGAACCTTAGTCATAGTCATCATGAGGGTGCTGAGGAAAGACATTCCAAGTTTCTTCCTGTTCCTATTCATCAGTTGTGCAGGTTTCTCGCAGGGGCTTCGGCTGCTCAATGTGCCAGGTGCCGATACCGACTTCAATAGTTTCGTGCAGGGCATAATCACGATGTTCCGGGTGTTGCTGGGGGAGAAGCCTCTGTGGACGAAAAATCCTTCCATCGAGGACATGGGAGTGTTGGGATGGATTGGCGCACTTTATTATGTCCTTTTCTCGGCATCGACAACCATTGTCTTGTTGCGCTTGATGATATCCATGTTCAACGAAACCTACGGTGGTGTCAGGAAGCATGCCGAGCAGGAGTATCGGCTGACGTGGGGGCAGATGATCCTCCGGACGGAGCGGCGCCTGAAGTTGTTGGTGCCCAGGCGGTGGCATCACCACATGAGCATGGACGACCCTACCGAGGACAGCTGCTCTTACGTCTTCCAGCGAGTCGACCACGCGAAGTTCGATTCCGAGAGCGTGGACGGAATGGTGGCGGCCGTGGCGCTCCCCAGGGAGCACCCCGCGGGCGACGCCGCGACGATGGGCGCTCTGCTCGCCGCGCTCAAGAGGCAGGAGCTGGAGCTGCAGAGGCTGCGGGGCCAGCCCGGGGCGGAGTCCAGCCCCGTGGAGCTCCCTGGCGACGAGAAGGGTTGCGGCTAGGGGGGACGTCACCACCCACCGAACCACCCCAACCCAACCCGAGGGCTCAGATTTGCCCTCCATTTCCAGTGGGGGGGGGTCGCGGAACACCGGAAAAACACGTGTGGAACCCTTACCCCCCCCAACCCGAAATTCGGGCCTTCGGGTCGGGGTGGGGTGGTTTGGTAGGTAGCCAGGACGGGCTCAGGGAGGGGGATGGGCATCGGCACCCCGTCCCCCACGCACCGCCGGCGGTGGCCCGGCAGCCCACCCCTGCTCGGGACCGTGTGGTCTGGCCATTGGAGGCACATCGCCGATCCATATCGGCGATGTTTTCCCGAGTCCAGGTCGGTGTTCCCCCACCCCCCCCCCCCCGAGCGGGTCATCGCCGATCCATATCGGCGATGTTTTCCCGAGTCCAGGTCGATGTTTCCCCCCCCCCCCCCCCCTCCCCCCGAGCTGGTCCCCGCCTGTCGCTATACCCCCCAGGAGCCCGCGGCGGAGCTGGGCCCCGAGTGCCCCCCGCTGGAGCTCGAGGCCGGAGGAGGCAGAAGCTGCACAAAAAGATGACCTCCCGGAGGTCCGCGCGGGCCTCTGAGGGTCTTTGGGGCCTGTGCAGGGTCGTTCTCCCGCCAGGAGCAGACGTTCCTCCGGGGCCCGCCGGGCGTGCCGCCGGAGCCCAGCGTGGACCTGCCGGGGGCCGCGCCCTCCGAGTGGCGAGCGGCGCTGGAAACGGGGCAGGCTGCACGGGCTATTTCGCGCGCACGCGTGACGCGGCGCGTGAGCGCCCTCTTCTCCACAGGGTATTCCGCGCGAGCAGCTCGCGCAGGCCGCGGCGTGAGGCCGCCATGTCCCAGGGTTTCACCCAAGCGGTGCTTCGGCGATTTCGTGAACCGTCTGCGTTCTGATGCCGCTTTGGCGCAAGGTTGGAGCGAAGACAAAACGAATGAGAACGAGAACAGAAGTACACCGAAAGTCATCGTTTAGGGCAAGTCCTCTCGCGTAAGACCCCCTCCTCCGCGGCGCGCCCGGGGAGAAGTGAGAGGGGGGAGGCCTTCTCAGAAGGCGGCGGGGCTTCTCAGAAGCCTCCCGGCCTTCTGAGCAGCCGTCTCTGTCTTCGGAGGAGGTGCGGCAGATTGCTCAGGAGGCCTTCCGAGCCTTCTGAGAAGGCCCGCCACCTCAGCATTCCCCCCCGCAATCGCCGCCGATTACTGCTCTTCTGAATTCTGTTTCCTCTGAATTCAGTTTCTGAGATCCTCGGGGACAGTTTTTCTTCGCCCCCCAACTCGTAGATTTCACTGGGGAGGAGAGTCTGTAACTGAGACGGGTTCTCTTGTCTAGTAGTTGATCGTACTGTGGCCTTCCATGGGCTCGCCGCCGACCTTTTCGTTGCCCAGGTGCGCGCAGCAGGCGCGGTGAGGCCTTAGCCCCCGCGCTCGGATGCCTCCTGCGGCGCCAGGCTCCTCGCGGCCCATCGCAGCTCCTGGCCCCGCGCCCCCGCCGAGGCCGATCGTTGCCTCTGGGCGTGAGGGCCGGCTGTCCACCGCCAGAACATGTCCACATCCCCTGCCGCGGGGTCTCTGGATGTTTAGAGGGAGGGCTGCGTCAGTGTTGGGTGCAAGGGACGTTTCGCGCGCCGATTCGATATGGGAACGGGACCCGTCACTAATCCATACGCCTTGATCCATGTTTACTTGTCTTCAGTCCTGCACCTTGAAACGAGAATTCGGTTGCCCAGGCTGCTGCTTGAGGTGCATGATAGGGAAGGCCACTCACCACCAGCTCAGAACGGACCCGCCACTCGCGCAAACATGTCAAACAACCATGTCATCGTTTTCTGATTCATTGTTTTGCCGATCGGCGCGGGCCCTCGCACCTCCCTCTATCTACCACCCCATGGAGTAGGTCGTAGCGCTTTTTGGCGCCTGTTTCAGGCAGTTGGAGCCTCCCCCATGGGACGCACTGTTGCAAACAGTCGCACTAAGCAGCAGAGGTCCGGAGCCAGACCCCCTCTCCTCTTCCGCCCAATGTCGAAACGCTGAATAAGGAAACTCTGACCATCGTGCGCCCGCCAACTCTGTTAGACAGTACAATGCGGACCACAAGTGCACGTCTCCGCGCGCGCACGGCATAATGCTTCCAAACTCAATTTGTTGTCTGATCACTCAAGGACAGCATTGTACAAGACCGTGGATCTAGATATGTGCCCGATCCCGTGGAGGAGGAGGAGGAGGAGGAGGAGGAGGAGAACGAGAACGAGAACGAGAACGAAGACGAGGAGGAGCGGGAGGGGGGGGAGGAGAGGAGGAGGGAGGAGGGAGGGAGGGAGGAGGAGGAGGAGGAGGAGGAGGAGGAGGAGGAGGAGCAGGAGGAGGAGGAGGAGGAGGAGGAGCAGCAGCAGCAGCAGGAGCAGGAGCAGGAGCAGAAGCACGAGCACGAGCAGGAGCAGGAGCAGGAGCAAGAGCAGGAGCAGGAGCAGGAGCAGCAGCAGCAGCAGCAGCAGCAGCAGCAGCAGCAGGAGCGGTAGCGGGACCAGGAGGAGGAGGAGGAGCAGGAGCAGGAGGAGCAGGGAGCAGGAGGAGGAGCAAGAGCAGGAGCAGGAGGAGGAGGAGGAGGAGGAGGAGGAGGGAAATGGGAGGAGGGAAACGGAAGGGGGGGCGGGCAGATATCCATATCCACTGCTCCCCGAGTCCCAGGTACACGACCCCGCGGCAGTGGGTGGGTGGGGACATACTCTGGTGGCGCAGGCCAGAGCCGCAGCTGCGAAGGCGGCGCCGCCGGTGCCTCCCCTAGCGCGTTCCGCGCGCCAGGGAAGAGGATCCAGCGCCGATGCAAGAAATCCGCGAGGACCTCCAGGCATGTATCTTAGCGAGTGTTTTTTTCGGCTCAGGGGGGTCAGCCCATTCTCCCGGCTCCTCTCTCGGCCACACGGGTCTGGGAGCCACGTGGGGCCGAGCTCTTTGTCCCCGCTCCCCCCTTGCCCAGGTCAGCGCGTCCCCGGGAAAGTGTGTGTGCGTATCCGCGCGGGCGACGCAGGCTCTGCCCACATGCGATTATCGCTTCCTTTGCTCAGTCGTCCGGTGCCCCTTGAGGGGCATAGCGTATGTTCGGATGCCCCAAGCATTGTTGAAGTTAGGGCCGCCTGCTCACTTCCTCCCCACTCGCCTTCCCCATTCCTTTGACCCCTTTGCTCCTCCAACTTCATCTCTTCTGGTCAGCCCTCCGCTGCTCCCTGAGGGGCCCAGCCCTTGTGGGTGCCCTAAGCATTGCCGAATTTGGAGCCGTCGGCTCTCTTCCTCCCCGCGCCACTCGGTTAAGCCGAGCGGCTTTTCGACACCGCGTGTTTACGTCGTGAAAAGAGCTTGCAACGTCATTCGAGGCGCTTTGCAATCACCGCCAGACCTAGGCGTTCTCTGTAGCACAGCCAAGACCAGCGTTGAGGCTGTGCCTTTTTCGGAAAGGGCAACTTGCATCCTTCGGTTCTGGCCATCCTTCGCACTTGCTCGGCTTCCTTAGCCCAAGGGCCTTGCATCCTTAAACTCCATGCTTAGCCTTGAGTTTGACGATAATTGAGGGAGGGCCCAGAAAAACCGGAAGATTGACCAACGGCACCCCCAGAAGAGAACAATAGCACAGACAAGGTACCAGAGACCGAAAACGGTTCTAATTCGGCCCAGGGATTCATAGAGTCTCGTGAGTGTCTTGGCGTCCCCGTTCCGCAAAACAGTCGAGCGCATAAATGGTGCGCAACGGCCAAGAGTGGGGCTTCCAATACCATCTCCCACCACCCCCCTCATCCTCCACTTGGCCCCTCTCCTCCTCATTCCTCCCCCGCCTCCTTTCTCCCATTCCAAGCTGCCGCTCTGGATCAACCTCTCGGGTCGACCCCCGCGGCCGTTTGAGTTGTTAGGACTCTACTCTGGCCTCCTCTCTTTCCGCCGCCACTGCCGTTTGACATCGGCTGCTGGCCGTTGGAGCTTCCGCAGCTGTTGTGGTTAAAAGCGGGGGGGAATTAGGAGGCGCGCCTCGTCGCCGTCACTCGTCGTCTCGGCCGGCCCGCCCCCTCCCTATCCATACTTGGATACATACTTCCGCTCAACGGAAACGTTTGTGGTACAGAACAGATCATCATATAAAAAAGGCTGCCACTCCACTGGCAAATAACTACTTATCCGCCGAACTTCTGGTATCTACCAGTAGTAACCATCTGGCAGTTCAGTCACGCCGCCAGGACCCTCCGATATTTCAACCGACGCGCCTTTGATATATGCGCGAGACGAAAATCCCTAAACTTCGTGCGAAGTTCGGACGCATCGGCCACGGTTGGCTGGTTGGCTCAGCCAATCCTAGTCCTCCACGCCGTCTTGACGATGAACATACGCATCCCTATATGGGTTCGGGCAGCGAAAACCTACTCGACATCAATGATACCAGCCACGAGCATGGTCTAGCCATATTCCGATTGCTGTCAGACGATGTCGTTGGCCCACAGGGAAGGAATGTCGGTTGGTTCTGAGGTTCGTTCCTTGCGCACGTCAGTGCAAGGTGGATCGGGCGACTCAGTTGTTGGACCAGAAAGAAGCGATGTCGCATTCGTCGGTTGAACCAGGGAATTCAATATTCTCATGCTGATTGTCCTTATTGGATAGGGGGAATCGCCAGGGGACGGAGAATTTGTTCCCCAGGCAACCCATCATCTGACGTTTCAGGGCGCGGGTCAACATGAAATGCCCCTAACCCCAGTGGAGATCTTGATTATTAGCGAGAAGAGATTCCAGAACACATGGGGGGCCCCGCAGTGGAAACGCCGTTTCCACAGCGACTGAAGGGTTGGGCGGGAAGCGATGTAGATCTCGACGGGTCACCGATGCAGACCTCCAGCTTAGCCTGGAGTCCTGGATCGGCGCGCCACTGCCACATTATCCGCAAGACCGGCGGGGCAGACGATGACATCCCAGACTTGATGGATTTAACCTTCCAGGATCAGGGGATGGACGATCCGATTTAAACACCACAAAGCAGATATCGGCCCCAACATGACAGGGCCTCCTCCGACCTCCCTCATCCTGGCCAGGCGACTGAAATCTGGTTCGCCCGCGATCGGCCGTGCGAGGTCGAGGGGCAGCCGAGGCTCCATCGGCCCAGCCAGGCAGCCCTCTCCGGGCAGCACTCCGGCCCCTGTCTGCACCTGGGCCCGGCCGCGGGCTTGCGCCTCCACCCCTTGCGCCTCGCGCCCGTCGCCCCGATGGACCAGCTGCACCAGAGCGACCCGCTCCAGCGGCCCCAGCGGCCGGGCGCCGCCGCCGAGGGCCAGACGCGCTGGAGTCGGAGGAGATGGAGTCCTGGCGGAGGCCCCGCCAGTGGCCTCGGCTTCACCGGCGTCTTCGGCGCAGCGCCGCGCGGGCGCGGAGGTGCAGGGGCAGCGCGCGCTGATGCCGACGACTGGGGCCGGAATTGCGACATGTTCACGGGCGCGGGACGGCGCGTTCTCAATTGGTGGGGAGGAAAGGGGCAACGGTAGACAAACAGAAGCTACCGCCAAAAGACGTCGGGACAGGATCGTGACGGAATGCCCCGCAAAGGAACAGCGAATCGCAAATAATTTCGCGTTTTGCGGAGATAAAGCGCAGAGGAAGAACAACATGTCTTAGGTTGTGGTCGTCCAGGTGGAGCGCGCAGCTCAGCCGCGCGCGACTCAAAGGCTTCTTGTGTTTGGAGATCATGGCAGAGTCCTTGATGGAGAATGCGTTTATGCGCCGGCGCAGTGTTCCCAGTTATTGGATGCGTCAGTCTTCCTCGGCTTGCTCTAAGAGCGCTGCCAAGAGTAGTGGCCATCCTGGCTCGCGCGCTGCGCGATCTCTCTGAATTGTTTGCGCTTCGCGAGTCCCCACCAGCCCATCCAAAAGCAGCCGCTCGAAAAAGGTGCGCTGACCGTAGGGTGTTTTCTCTTCCTTCTCCCTCTCTTTGGCTTCTTTCTTCCATCCTTTTCTCCTTCTCCTCGTCCTCGTTGCTCCTTCTCTTCGTCCTCCTCCTCCTGGCGTTGCCGTGCGATCTTGGGGATCTCTTGGGATCTCAGGGAATCGTGGCCCTGGGGCTCTCTTGGGGCTCCTTTGGGAGTCTTGAAACCCTCTCGGGGCTCTTTGTGGGAGTTTGGGAGGTCTCTTGGGGCCATCGTGGAGGCCATCGGGCAAAGAAGGAGAGAGCATTTATTGGTGTACCCCCGTCGGGGCCCGAAATATCGCCTCTTGGAGCCCTCTTGGGCCGCTCTTGGGCGCCTGTTGGGCGCTCTTGGGGCCGTCTTGGGGCCCTCTTGGGCCGTATTGGCCGCCTCTTGGGCCGTCTTGGGGCCCTCTTGGGCCGTCTTGGAGCCGTCTTGGGAGCGCTCTTGGGGGCCTTGAGAGCGCTCTTGGAGCCATCTTGGAGGAGATCTGTCAAAGAAGACGAAAGCACTTATTTGCCCCCCCCCCCCCCCCTGGGGCCACGATGCCTGTGAGGGGTGTCAAAAAATTAGCCTCCCCTCCCCGAAGGGGAAGAAGGGGGTTGAGAACAGTGAGGACTATCTAAACCACTCACGCCCTAAAGGGCTGGTGGGATTTGGCACCTTGGGCCACAGGGCCTGGGGATGGCGCGAAGTTCGGCCGCTCCGCAGCGAGCTAAAACCAGGCCCGCACACCCTGCAGCGGGGGGAGTGATCGGGGCTCCAACCGCGCCCCCTCTTCTCGCCGCCGCCGCTACCGCCGGGCGCCACGTGCTGAACATGGAACCTGCCGCGGCCCTGGCGGATGTATCTCGCTGAAACGGGCTCGCCTCGTCGCCGCCACTCGTCGTCTTGGCCGGCCGGCTCCCTCCCCATCCACGCCTGGATGCGCATTTCCGGCCAATTGGACCACTGCAGTGCCATGTCGGACGTTAGGATCCAAACCGCTGAGGCAATGAATAAAAGATCGACAGATGAAGGAGAGAGCATACCGACTGCCACGTTACAATCCGCCACTCTTCTGGCATATAATTGCTTCGCAGGCGACCTCCCCGCGTGGATGGCTCCGATGCGCCGCGCACGACACCTCCGCCCCAAGTAGCGGCGGCGCCTCGGAGATCCCCGAGTTTCGCCGCGGGCCCACCACGACGAAGCAGGAGTTCTCAGAGCTCCGCACGCGGCTCATAAGGAGAAGGAGATGGCGACAAGAGCCTAGGCGGAGGAAAACCTCAACTTCGAAGGGGGGCGGCCGTGGAATTCCCGATTTCGCCCAGCGTCGACAGCTGGGCCAACTGGGGGCGGGACATCCGACGCCGCAACAAAGCGAAGGTCGACCTGTTCGACAATTTAAAGAAAAAACGCTGATAGGGTAGCTGGCGCGTCGCGCACAATTCTAAAGGCAGCGTCGCCTTCGGGCACGCGGTTGCGCCGCCCCCGCTTGTCGGGTAAGCCATGGCGGCAGGGTCGCGCCGCGCCGCGCGAGCCGGGCGCGGGCCGCGGGCGTGCGAGGTGGGGGGCCATTCGGGCGGCGTCTCTCTCGGAAGTTGGGTTTTCTGGTTTGTTGGTCGGCGCGGGGCCGCGCGCCGCTGGGCAGCGCAGTGTCCACCCTTTGACTTTCGTAGCTGGAAGGCTCAGCCTTGTCCGTTCGAAGTGTCCTACCCGATCTTTTAATATCAGCAACTTCCCCAGACTTCCCTGGAACCTCTGAAGAATTTGCGTCACGACCGTCGTTTGTGCCATAATCCACGCTGCGACGGCAGCAGGAGGTCTTCGACGATATTCTTGGTCGGCGCTGGGCCCGGGAGCTCGCGGAGGTCCACTGTCCATTGTAGACCTCCGGATCCAGATGCCCGCATGCCTCGCGCGTGCATCATAGCGAATTTCTATTGGCGCAATCGGCGAGGTAGGTCGCTTCGTTCAATTCATCATCGGTGAAACACCGGAGCGCTCGCCGAGTATAACGATAAAACGAGACAGCCCCCCAAAAAGAGACGTGGAATTACACCAGAAAGAAACCAACCAGTAGCGAAGCGTTCTGGCCTGCCTAGAGGCCTACCAAACAATGTTCTAAGAATTGTTTGTGGTCTGCACGAAATGTTCTTGGAATATTTCTGCCTGGAGCTCGTTTGTTTTAACACATCTACTTGCGTTCTAAGAATATTGCTTTTGTCATTAGAACATTTTTGGAATCTAAGAACATTTCGTGGTAGGCCTATAGGAATGCCGGGACGGTCGGCCATTTCTCACAAGAAAACCCAAGTATTTGATGTTTTCATGTTTCGCAGGTGCATCAATCGGCCTTTTTACCCGCCCTAGTCGACTATAGCAGCGTTCGTTCTAGTCCAGTGTGTTGTTATGTGTCCCTCTGTCGGTCTCAGTCTCTGTCTTTCTCTCTGTCTCTCTGTCTATCTCTTCCTCTCTCTCTGTCTCTCTGTCTTTCTCTCTCGCTCTCTCTCTCTCTCTATCTCTCTCTTTCTCTTTCGTTATGTATATATATATATATATGTGTATCTATCTCTCTCTATATATATATCTCTCTCTTTATCTCTCCGTCTGTCTCTCGTTCTCTCTATTGTTTCTCTGTTTCACTCTCTCTCTCTCCCTCTCCCTCTCTCTCTATCTGACTCTCTTTGTTTTATTTAAATATGTGTATCTGTTGCTCTCTCCTTATATATATACACACGTATTTACATATAGAGATGTTATGTGTTTGTTGCATCTGTATACATATATATATATGTGTGTGTGTGTATCCCTTGTTATCGCTCTCTCTCTCTCTCTCTCTCTCTCTCTCTCTCTCTCTATATATATATGTATCAATATGTGTATATATATATGTGTGTATCCATCTCTCTCTCGTCCTCTCTCGATCGTTCTGTTTGTAAACATGTACAAATATATCACTCCCCATATGCATACACGCTGTGTCTGTGTATGTATCTCTCTCTCTCTCTCTCCCTTTCTCTCTCTCTCTCTCTCTCTCTCCCGTCTCTCGTTCTACTCCGCCTTTACCAATATTGATAGAGCATGGCTGCTTGTCTATCACTATCTCTGTAATATGTGTATTTATGCACAAACCTATGTGCACAGAGCTGCAGATGTATGTACACATATGCGTGTGGATCTATGCGTACCTAAATATACATATGTACGGATACGTATACATACGTGTGTGCATGTATATATATATATATATATATATATATATAACAATGCATACTCTGATGTTCGTCGTACTGATTTGTCCTTAGGTTCGGAACATGATCGGGGGGGTACTATGACGCGCGGTCCTTCGTGAGTTGCGGGGTAGAGCTACTGGGTCCTTTCAGGACGCCCCCTGGGGCCTCTTGGGGGTCGTTGGGAGGCGTTTCTGGGCCTCGTCTGGGCCTCTTGGGTGCCTCTTGGGGCTTCTTGGGGGCCTGCTGGCGGTCTCGGGGGCAGTCTTGGGGCTCCCTTGGGCCGTCTTGGGCGCCTCTGGGGTCGACTTGGAGCTCTCTTGGGACGCCGTGGGGGCGTCTTGGGGACCCTCTTGGGCCGTCTCGGGGCGGCTTGGGTGGCGTTTGGGGCCGTCTTGGAGTGTCGGAAAATCGAACAATCGTATATGCTAAAAATGCACGCTCTGTAAGGGAATTGGACGGTTTGGGCCTCTTGGGGCTCTCTTGCGAGGCCTCTTGGAGCTCTCTTGGGGCGTCTGGGAGGCCTGTTGGGCTGTCTTGGGGCCATCTTGGGCGCCAGCGGCCCGCACTGGGCCTGAAGTCTGGCCATATCAGTTTTCCATAAACATAGGGCGTCATTGCATTAGCACAGCGATATTGGAGGTCGGGGGGTGAGATCGCAGTGAAACGGAGACCCCCCCCCCACAGGGATATCGGTTTAAGGTTCACATTCGTGTCGCGCGTGCGGGCGATGCGAAGCTGCGTGGGCGGGCGAGAGGAATTAACCCGCCGCTGCCAGGGCGAAGCCGAACCAAACGTGGTTGTCCCCCGGGTTGGCCAGCAGTGGCCTTGTGGTGTCCCGTTGGTATCCCGATGGTATCCCGATGGTGTCCCGTGGTGTCCCGTGGCGCGGGAGGTGTCCCGTACTATGCTTTATGTTATGTTATGCTAGCGATAGCGAGATCGATTGTGCGATCGATAGTGAGATCCATTGATCGCGATCAATCGTGAGATCGATCGTGAAATCAAAAGTGAGATTGATAGTGGGGTCGATTGAGTGAGATCTATCGTGAGGTCGATAGCAATAACGATAGTGAGATCGATAGGGATATCGATTGGGTGGGATCGATCGTGTGTTCGATTGTGAGATCGATAGGGAGATCGATTGAGTGAGGATGATGACATCGATAGTGAGACTGACAGTGAGAGCAATCGGGAGTGAGATCGTGAGACCGTTCGTGAGATCAATCGTGAGATTGACGGTGACATCGATAGTGATCAGTAGTGCGATCGACAGTAGGATCGATAGTGAGATCGATAGTGGGATCGAGAGTGAGATCGGCAGTGAGATCGATAGTGAGATCGAATGAATGGAATGGATGGTGAAATCGATAGAGAAAACGATAGTGAAAACGACCGGGAACCCGGTAACCAAAAATTGGAAACCCGGCCCCGCCGTCTACCGAAATCGGCCCGGAACCAGCAACCAGGAACCGGGGCACCCGGAATTTGGAACCCGAGGATTTGGTCGCCTTCCGAAATCGGCCTGGAATTTTCGCCTAATCTTTCAATCTCCGCTATGACCCCTTCAGTGCAAGCACTGATTGGGAAATCTCCACTAGGACCCCTTCAGGGCAAGCATTGATTGGGGAACGTATAAAACCACGCACGGAGGAAAGGGAGCCACGAGACTGGCAAACCCAGGATGAGAACTTGGAACAGTGAAGAGTTTGGGATCCTTTTCCAATCCTTAGGGTCCCATCCAAAGAGGGCCCATTCTCAAACCGCAGACTACCAGGGAGAGTGGGGGGAGGATGGAGGACGGAGGGCGAGGGAAGAGGGAGGAGTGAGGAGGAAAAGAGCGGGGAACAGGAAGCAGAGAGGAGGAAGCAGGGCGAGGAGGAGAGGAGGGAGAGGAGGGCAGCGGGAGAAGGGGGGCGAGCGGAGGAGGAGGGCGAGTTGGGAGGACGAGCGAGGAACGAGAGGGGGGATGCAGGACGTCGCGACCTACAACGCGCTGATCAGCGCGTGCGAGAGGTGCGGCGAGGCCGACACTGCGCTCGCCCTCTTCGGGGCCATGAAGGCGAGCCACATCGCCCCGACCGAGGCCCGTGGACCTTCCCTTCCACTCGCCCTCCTCCTCCTCCTCCTCCTCATCATCATCATCATCATCATCGCCATCATCCTTGGCATCATCCTCATACGCATCATCATCAGCATCATCAGCAGCAGCAGCATCAGCATCAGCATCAGCATCATCATCATCATCATCATCATCATCATCATCATCATCATCATCATCCCCACCATCATCAGCAGCAGCATCATCATCAACATTGATAGTATTACCAGTATCATCCTCATCACCAAAACAATCATCATGTTCATCGTCATCATAATCATCCGCATCATCATCAGCATCAGCATCATCAGCAGCAGCATCAGCATCAGCATCAGCATCATCATCATCATCATCATCATCATCATCATCATCATCATCATCATCCCCACCATCATCATCTCATCAGCAGCATCATCATCAGCATTGATAGCCTTGCCATATCATCCTCATCACCAAAACAATCAGTATTTTCATCGTCATCATAATCCTCATCACTGTCATCAGCATTATTATCGTCCCCGCCATCGTCATCGTCACCATCATAAGCAGCAGCATCATCTTCATCCACATCCTCAGTATCACCATTCTGATACTCACCATCAGTATCATTATCAGCATCGTCATCGTCATCGTCGACATCATCACCACCATTACCATCACCATCGTCATCAGCATCATCATCATCATCATCAACAGCATCATCATCATCATCATCATCATCATCATCATCATCATCATCATCATCATCATCATCATCATCATCATCAATCATCCCCCTCTTCATCCTCGTCCTCCCTCTCCAACTCATTATGTCTCTACCCCTGCCCCTTCCCCTCCTCGTCCCATCCTCTGCGTCCCCCTCACCCCTCCTGCACTCCAGCGGGGGTCGGGAAAGACACGTCCCCAGGTATCCGGCGGTTCGAACAACATCGAGGTTGCAGATGTTGCTAGCCCTCCTGTGTGTTGGGTGCTCGTTTTGAACCCGCAGCGCCGCGCGTCTCATCCTCCTTCTTCTCCTCCCCATCTTTGCTCCACTTCCTCATCATCACCGTCGTCCCTTTTCGCCTGTTTGCACACACACCTCATATGTTCCGTGGCCCCATAGGGAGCATCACCGAAGGCCACAGTGGCAGCGTCCGCATGGTTACCCGTCTAATTTCGGCGCACCCCTCCCACGCGTCGTGGCCACATCGGGAGCTCCAGTCCTACTGGTTGCGTCCGCACGGTCACCCGCTCCGTTTCGGCGCACCCCTCACACGCTTCGTGGCCCCATAGGGGAGTTCCGCCGAAGGCCCCAGTGTCTGCGTCCGCATGGTTACCCGCCGAATCTCGGCGCACCCCTCACACGCGTCGTGTCCCCGTATAGGGGAGTTCCACCGAAGGCCCCGGTGGCTGCGCCTGCATGCGGCCCGGCCCCGTGTCGGCAGACCCCTCACACGCTTGGTGGCCCCACATGAAGCTCCAGCGAAGGCCCCAATGGCTGCGTCTGCATGCGGCCCCGCCCTATTTCGGCAGACCCCTCACACGCTTCGTGACCCCATGGGGAGCTTCACTGAAGGCCCCAGTGGCTGCGTCCGCATGGCGTGGAGCGGTCCTGTTGATAGCCGCCACTCTTTGACAAAGTGTTGGCTTCGTCGCCAGGTTATTTTTGTATGTGTGGGCCTCTCGATATGAGCTTCCAGGCAAAAACTGGCAGGATTCCGGATAAAGCACTGTCCATGGGGGAAGGGTCGAGAGATCCAGGGGCCCATGTCTCGAAACAACAAACCGACGGGCACTTCGGGCCAGGAGAAGTTTGACATTCTGAGGCTCAGGCCCGCACCGCCGACCACTTGGGGCCCTTCCGGTTCTCTGTGGAAGCCCGAGACTTCGGGAGCCTTGAGACGCGGGTCAACGCAAACGGGGGTCAGCCAGAGCGCCCCGACCTTGCAGGATCCTGCAGGGCCAGGGTCGCATTGACCCGGGTTTGGGTGCAGGATCCTGCAGGATCTTGCAGGATCTTTCGCATTGACCCGGGTTTGGGTGCAGGATTTTGCAGGACTTTGCAAGGCCTGACTGACCCAGGTCTGGATTGACCCGGGTCAGGGGACCCCCGAAGACTGCCCAAGGGAGCCCCAACGCGCTCGTCGTCCTGTTGTGTAGTGCCAGTGCCGCGATGAGAGGGCGCGGGCGAAAGCGTTTGAAGGATTTGCGTGCCCCTTGAAAGGAGGCGGGCCGAAGCCCGCATTCGCAGGAGGCGGGCAGCTGTCAAGAGATGCTTCGCATGTCAAGCGAGGCAACCCGGTGGTTTGCGCGAAATGTTGTGAGGCGTGACGGACGCCCAGAAGAGGACTGGCGAAGCGCCCCGCGGAGGCAGGCGGTTGCGCGGACGGCGGCAGGCGCCGGATCCCCGCAGGGGAAGCAGGTGTCACCACGAAGCGCTCCCAGCATGCGCGTCTGGACGTGTTCGCGCCGAAGTCTTAAAAGGCCTCCAGGGCGATTCTGGAGGGCATGCGGGGGTCTCCGGGGGTGCCTCTTCGGGGCGTCTGTAGCCCTCGTGGGGCGCTCCTGGGCCGTCCGGCGCCCTGATGGTGGGTGCATTTGAGGGCTTGTCGTGGGGGTCTCACGGGCCTCCTTGGGGCCCTCTTCCAGTCAGCATCGTTTGACCGATCCCCATCCCCATCCCAATTCCTTTCGAGACCCCCACCAAATTACCACCCCAGTTGGGGATACACCCTTCGAAACCCGAAGGGAACGACCCATATCCCCATCTAGGGGGGTACATCGGCCAGTGGGGCCCAGGCCACGCCGCTGGGGATGGGGATCGGTTAAACGATACTCATCCAGGCCGCTGGCCCGTTTAGAGGCAATCTTGGAGGCCTCTTGAGCCGTCTTGGGCACTGCGCAGAGGAACGCAACGAACATGCAAACATAAGCGCTTCTTTCAGGTAGTGGTGTGGTGTTTCCTTATTGGGGCCCTCTTGGGAGTCCCCTTGGAGCCCTTTGTAGGCGTCTTTGGGGGGCCCCCTTTGCTGTCTTGCGGCCTTCGCGGAGCGTCTTGGAGCCATTTGGCGAGCGTTTTGCGGCGTCCTGGGAGCGGATGACCCCCGGCAGACCCGACCGGACACCCCCCCCCCTTCCAAACCGACGGGGTTGGTCTCCCGGGGGAGTGTCGGGCCAGACGAAAGGGGGGGGGGGACAGGGAAAGGGGGGGTTACGAAATCTGCTGCATGCCGCTGGTTTCGGCCCCACTAAGGGGCCCACTCCTCTCTACATGTCCGCCTCCGGCGCCGGGAGGCGCCGGGAAAATCAGCTACGTGAGCTGATTCTCGAACCCCCCCTTTGTTATCCCCCCCTTTCGCCCAGAGTGGTTTGAGGAGGGGCAAGTGTTTCACGCATTGATGAAAACACAAGGAGCCTGCAGATTCATTGCCTTACGCCGCATCACCGACCCCCTTGGGAGCCTCGGATGCCTCTTTTCCAGGTGGCGCTGTCGTCGAAGGTACAAAAGTCTTGGCGTCGTGCGTCCAGTTGGGAACTTAGAACCCTGCTCAAAACGAAACATGATGGGACTTTTTGGGGGCGTCTTGTGGCAGTTCGGCGTGAGCCTCTTGGGGATATCTTGGGCGCATGTTGCGGGTTGTTATGGGTGGCATCTCTCGGGGAGCGCCACGGGGGCCCCTTCGGCTTCTCCCTCTTCGGCTCCTCCTGGAGCCCTCACCAGGGTCTATTGGGCATTCTAGGGGGCCTCGTGGCCCATCTGAAGGCTGTTTGGGACCCTCTTGGGGCGATCTTGTGGACCTCTTGGATTGTCTTAGGCCGTGACGACCGAAAAGGCGAGTGCGTCCAACATGCTTTTGGAAACCGACAGAGAATCAAGCATGTTAGCCTCTTGACGCCCTCTTCGAGGTCCTGGGGCTCTCTTGGGAGATGCCCTCAGATCCGGGGCATCGTACGACAACACGACGGGCCTCTTCGTTTCGTTTCGGATTCTGGGCCTTTTCATTTCGTTGCGGACTCGTGGGCCCTCGCGGGCTGATCCGGCTCGAGAAGCAAGGCGGGAAGTTGGGTTGGAATCTCCGCGTTGTGACGTTTCACGGCGTCGCATGTTTTTTCACGATTTCGGATGCCGGGGCGATTGGTAGAGGGAACGCCGAGACAAGACAAGACATTATGGCCATGCATCTTGATGGGCACGTGGGCTGCACGGCAAGGGCGCGCCATTGTTGGCTATTGCGGGCCAGGAACCGGCGTGGAGCAGGCGTAGACGTATCGCCAGGAACACAGTGACGTGCCAACTGGGCACCGTTTCACGTGCGGGCTTGGGGAGACTTGGCAGGGACCAGCAAGTAGGGAGCAGACAGGGGGCAGCCGTCAAGCCAAAGCTCCGGATCAGCCCGAGCAGACCCAGGAGTGAAGCGTGTTTCCGCACCTGTTCCGAAGGAGAAAGAGGAGGCGAAGGAGGAGGAAGAGGAGGAGGAGAAGGAGGAGGATCCGAGGGCGGAAGAGGAGGATCAAGAAGAGGCGGAGCGAGTGAGGGAGGAGGAGGAGGAAGGCAAGCAGCAGTAATATGACTTTGACTGAACAGTTTCTCGCTTACCTTTTGGTGGACTTCTGGTGAGAGGAGCAGGGCCGGGAGGAGGAGGAGGTGGTTGAAGGAGGGCAGGAGGAGGAGGAGGTTGGAGGAGGGAAGGAGGAGGAGGAGGAGGAGGAGGAGGAGGAGGAGGAGGGGGAAGAGGAGGAGGAGGAGGAGGAGGAGGAGGAGGAGGAGGAGGAGAAGGAGGATGGGGGAGTAAGGAGGCGACGACGACCACGACGACGACGACGAGTCAGGCTATCGTGGATCTTTCACTCTGGGAGTCTTATGGCACTGCTGGGGCCCTCTTGGGGCCGTCTGGGGAGCTCTCAGAGCCCCATCTGGGCCCCTGAGGACCCCACGGGAGGCTTGGGGTGCCATCCTGGAGCCATCATGGAGGCCAACGATCCACAAGACGTGGGAGCAGGCGGGCCCAGCCGTGGCCGCAAGGGCGCCCCAGGACGCCCAGGAGAGCCCTCGAGCCTCCCAGCTACTCCCACCTCGAATCTCGAACCCGACGAGAGTCAGGAGGGGAAAACACACACACAGACACAATTATCCGTCGACTTCCAAAAAATATGCGAAAATATGGGAAGTGGGGGGGAAGACAGAAATCCAGAAAATATTGGAAAATATGGGGAATCTTTATATTTGTGTGTATTTATTGTAGTGGCCTTCGGCAAGTGCCGCCGATCCGGGGCGCTCCGACTGATGTGATCCTTCTTCGCCCTCTCTTTTTCCCTCCCCTCCTCTCACTCAGCATTTATCGAAGACGCCTACGGCGAATCACCGCCGCCCCCTGCCTTTTTGGAAGCGCCTATGTGGCCGAACGTTGAGGCCAGACCTGCCAAGCTATCGGACCACGTGTTCCCCGAATCGGTTTGGAAAGCCTTCGGGGAACACGTGGGCATCTTGAAGGTCATCTTGGCCGTCTTGGAGGCCTCTTGGGCAAGCTTTGGGCGATCTTTGGGGCTTTTTGGGCCGTCTCGGGCCAGCTTCGAGCCAACTTCGGCCATCTTGGTGGGTTCCTGGCACGTCTGAAGCCGTCGGAAGCCGTTTGGGGGGCCTCTATGGGCCGACTTGGGGCCCGCTTGGAATGCTCCAGGGCCGTCTTGGAGGCCATCTTGGGCGTCTGGGAGGCCATCTTGGGCGTGTTGGAGGCCTCTTGGGCCCTCTTGGGGCCCTCTAGGGGCCATCTTGGAGGCCACTTGGGCCATCATGGGGCTCTCTTGGGGGCCTCTTGGGCGATCTTGGGGGCTTCTTGGGCCGTCTCGAGCCGTCGGAGAGCCGAAAAGGCGCAAATGCCAGAATCCTTCAAAAACCAAGGAAAAATCAATGATTTTGGCCTCTTCGGACTCTCCTGGAGGACCTCTTGGAGGCCTCTTGGGCCGTCTGGGAGGCCTCTGGGGGGCCTCTTGGGCCGTCTTGGGCCGTCTTGGACTCTCTTGGGCCGTTTTGGAGGCCGTCTTGGACCATCTCGGGCGGACTTGGAGGCCATCTTGGGCCATCTTCGCGATTTTTTGAGGATGTCCCGAGCGAAACGGCCGTTTTTTGGAGGATTGTTTTCCGGATTGAGGTCCTTTCGGCTTCCTCCCGGGACCCCGGCGGGACGTGCCGGAGCCCACTGGGGGAGTTCTTTTGGAAAAAAAACAAAACCAAAACCTGAAACATCCAGCACGCCGTGCACCCCTGCAAGCAGGGGGCGGCGGATCCAGTGGCCGTCGGCCTATCCCGCCACCGTGCGTGGGTGGTGGGTCAGAGGCCTCATGGATGCTGGTTGGGATCTCGTGGTTGGCTGGGACTTCTGGGGGCCTCTTGGGCGCCTCTTGGGGCTTCTTGGGGGCCTCTTGGGCCTCTTGGGGCCACTAGAGGGCCTCTTGGGGGTCTCTTGGGAGCCTCTTGGGGCTTCTTGGGGGCCTCTTCTGCGCCCCTTGGGGCCTCTTGGAGGCCTCCTCGGAGCCTCTTGGTGCGGGAGGGGTGGTACTCGAGTTCGGAACCCCCTCGGAGGCCACGATCCTTGTGAGGGGTGTCAAAAAACGCATCCGCCGGAAACTCGCACCCCCCCGCCCACCCCCCCTTCCCCGGCAGAGTCACCCCGGCAACCCCCCCAGAGGCTGAGGCTCAGCCTCGAGGCTGTAGCTGAGACTCCTTGAAACTCACTCGGACCTCGACAGCACCCCGCCCGCGCACGTCGGCGCCTCGTACGCCGCGGCCCCGCCGCCGGCGCGCGCCTGGTGGGTAGGCCACAGGGCCCCCGCGACGGGAATGTTGTGATCAGCCAGGACACTCGCAAGTGCAGCCTGGGGTCGGGGGCGGCCAAGGAGGAGGGGGATGACGACTGGGGGGGGTGCACGTCGAGGCCAGGGCCATGGTATCTCCCAAATTTCACGGCGCCTCTTCTCGTTTCAATGCGGTCAACGCGCACAGGAAGGACAAGCCACTTTATAAGGTTACCCTTGTATCCTCCCGCTTCGGCCCATCCGTTGCCACTTTTGCTGGCCGCGCCCCGCTTGGAAAGTGTCGACATGGCCTTCCAAGGCCCTTGCATCCTTTACGTGCGTCCTTATTGTACGCGTTGGTCGTACGTCCCTGGCCCCCCCCTGAGCCGCGCACAAGCCTCAGGCCACGATTTGCGAACCCCCTTCTTGAACGCCCACTTCTTAGACGGCCCCGAGTGGGTCGAAGCACTCTCCGTTATTCCTTCCCTCTAGGCCTCCTAGGTGGGGTCGGAGTGTCGCGCTGCATCGGCGACGCGGCTCGATGCGGAGCCAGATTTTCGCTACGCCGATGGCATCGATGCATCGCCGACGTCGCCGATGCATCGGCGATGCGGCGCGATCCTCCGACCCCGTCTACTCGGACCCCACCAAAGGAGGCCTCTAAGCTTACCCAAGTCTCGGCGTCAGCAGCGTCCTGGTCTAGTGGGCCCCGGGGTCGACTCTCGACAGTGTCGGCGCCTTGCACACCGGCGGCCGCGCCGCCAGCGCGCTCTCCCCAGGCGTTCCTTGGTCGGCGGCGTCTCGATCCGAGTGGCGGGCGGGCGAATAACGCTGGGGCACAGGCGAAGCTACTTGCGACGGACGGGGCCAGGATGAGGATAGAGCTGTTCCAGAGCGTTCTGGGACGCTCTCAGAGCGGTCCAGAACGCTCTGAGAAGGCAGAAGGCCGCGGCGCCCGATACATCTTCCAGAGCCGCCAGATCACACAGATTCTCGATGTATCCTCCCCCGAACTCATCCTCGTCCTGGCTTCGTCTTCTTGCGGCACGGGCGGAAGGGGATCCAGAGAAGGCCGAGTTGTAACCACAGCAGTTGGCCTTCGGGGGGGGAGCCCTCGTCGCCATGGCCGGACGCAGCTCGGAGAATTGGCGCCCTTGGACCCCCGGGAGGGGCCCCCGGGGGGCCGACTTGGAGCTGCCGCCGCCTCGGCTCGCCCTGCTCGCCCTGCGGAGATCGCCTGGAAGCGTCTGCTCGGGGAGCCCCGCCGCCGGGCCCACTCCTCGCCGCGTGGGCGCCTCCCGGCTCGGCATCGCTCGGGCGTGTGCATTCTTCCTTCGGTGAGGGCCATCGAGGAGCATCCTGGATCGTTTGGCGAAAAAGCCACGCACGAAACCGAGAAAAGCACAGGGAATGGACGTCCGAGCGATGGCGGGCCGGCGCCAGGAGGCGCGGGGAAGACCAGCCACGTGAGCTGATTCCCCGCAGCCGGCCCAGATTAGCAGGTCGGCCCTGCCAAATCAAGGGTGCCATTGGGTACCCTCGTGTCCTGTGCCTCGCGACCCATGCCTCCTACATCCCACATGCCAATGTAGCCCTCGGAAGGGTCTTGTGTCCTCTCGCGTGTCCTGTCCAATCGAGTCCGACTGTACCCTACCCTTTGCCTTCTTGCCCTCTCGACTCATCATCACCCGCATTTGTCCTCGTCCTGGCCTTAAGTCGGGCGTGTCCCTCTACAGGGGGAATACTCCGAAATAGTCAAAAAATAGCCGGGGGACGATTTTGGGGACTATGTTTGGCCATTTGGGTGCATTTTTGGTGTCATTTCTTATTTTTCGTCGGAAACAAGCCTGTAGGGGGAAACGACCCGACCTGATCCTGGCCTCGTCCTGCACATCGCCTGCTCCTCGAGACCAGGCCACGTACGTCGCGCTCGTCGCCGCCTGCGGCGAGGGCGGCCGCCGGGAGCGGGCCGCGGAGCTGGCGGAGGAGCTGCAGCGGCTCCGCGGGGCGCGCGGGGCGCCGCGGCAGGAGGTCCGCCCCCGCCGTCGTTGCTTGATCTGGTCTCCTGGTGGTCGTGCCCCCAGAGAGGACCGCGTCGTGAAAAACAAAATTCTGGACGGGAGGTGTCTGGCCGAGTTCGGCCCCCGAGGGGGCCCTCGCCGGGCCTCGGGGCCGTCAAAAAAGGACTCAGTCAGGACGAAAGACGGGTCAGGGGGAAAGGGTCGAAACTTCCAGGGACGCCGACCTGAAGACATCAGGACGTCGCATGTCTGGGTCGGGCCTCTCTTTTGGGGGCGGGGGGGGGTTGTTCCATCCCCTCCCCCGTCCTCGCCCCGCGCCTCCGTCCCCCAACCGCTAGTTTCCGCCCCCTCCTCCTTCCCATCTGCGGCCGCCCCCTTCCCCCCAGCCTCCGCCCCCATCCTCAACCCCTGCATCCCCCTTTTCTTCCCTCCCTCCCCACTTCCACAACGACACAGTATGAATACGGCTCTCCTCTCTCCCCTGACCCTGTCTGGAGGATCCTGGACCCCCCTTCCGCGCATGGTTTTTGCACACGCAGGATTGTGCAGAGACGTTCTTCCCCCAGACGCGGAAGACCACATGGCGGAGCTCGGGCGCGTCGGGTCGCCCTTTTCCCGGGCGAGGGGAGCCTGGTGGTCGAAAGCGATGGCCCCAAGACGAGGGGACGAGCAGGCGCTCCCGTTTTGCTCCAATTGCTTGAGCAGTTTCTGATTCAGCTGCCCCCCAGGCCTGTGGCAGCGCCACGCCGGGTTTGGGGGTGTCCGGGTGGCCTGGAGGCCGCTGCGCGGCGGGCTGAGCCCTCTAGAGTGGCCGCTGGCGCTGCTCGCAGTGGCAACGTTCGCCCCGGGCGCCGCGGGCCCCGTGGGTGAAGGCCGCTGCGGGTCCCTCCGCTCGCCCCTGTGGCCCCGGGTGGAGGACGCGTCGGTGGTCGCTCTGGAGGCCCCGGCCTTCCGCCAGCACCTCAAGTGGCTCCCCGCCCCAACCAGCTCCCCACGCTCCCGCCATATGCGCGGGTCCAACGCTCCGGCACGGTCCAGCTACCCGCTTAGAGGGCGACACCATGCGGGCCCGGCAGCGCCCGCGCTGCGTGTGTCCAGCGCCAGCAGTTTCGGCCGCACTGGGCATATCGCATGTTTCGACGCGGCCCCCCTCAAGCCAGTTTTCAAAGCGAGAGCATACCGCTCCCTCATATGTTACGCTCTTTTTCTCGCTGGGCGGCCTGGTGCCCCGCGCATCTCAATGATTGTGAACAACATGATGCTTGTTTGAGTTCTAGGCTGGCTATGGGAATCGGCACAATGAGAAGTGATGGGAGGATGTCAGATACGGCGCGAGCGCACCTGGCTTGCCCCGTCCACTCCCTCCCCCTTAAACAGCGCACTTGGAAGAGATGGGCGGGAGGGATAGGATGCCAGATATGCGAGCGCACCTAGCTCGCCGCCTCCCCGTCGCTCCTCGCCCCACTCCCCCTCCTCCCCGCTGGGGTCTTGCCACAAAGGCACGGCGCCGCCGCGACCTCCGAGCCTCGCGGCGTTGTCGCTGCGTGTTTTGCGGTTGTGGTGCGACCAGTGTTCTTTTCCACTGGAATTTGTGTCACCGGATTCTCGGGGGCCCCCGAATGGCGCGGTGACATCAGTGTGTTGTGAGTCGGTGGGGATTCGAGGTGGCGGCCGCACGGTTTTGGGACTTGGGTCGTTCTCCGAGGATGTTTCGGGCGCTTGGGGCCTCCATGGTTCCAGACAGCACTGCGACGGGCGGTGCAGTGTGGTCTCTTGGCATATCGAGGTCGCCGCACGGTTTGTCACCGCACCGTTTGTTTTCGAGATCCCAAGATATTTGGGGCTCGCACGTGGGCCGGGCCGGGCGGACGGCAACGGGAAGTATCGAGGATTATTATAGGGAATCCCCGAAGGGGACCCCACATGGCCCTTCCGCGAGCCCAAAGGCGCACGAAACACTAAAGGTGCGCGCTCCTTCCGGGGCCCGCCGCGGGGAGGGGTGGTCAGATGATCAGCTACGCTTCAGAGTGACCCTTCGCAGGAGTGACCTTCTGATGCGGGCCCAGCACCAGCACCATCAGCGCGGCCCCCTGAAGTCGCGCACCAAAGCGAACTCTTTCCGATGGTTTTGGTTTTTGTTCGGGTTCACAGCCCGCCTAATCCCTTAGGGGTATCTGGGGCTCACCAACCTAGCGGCCATAACCGGGTTACTTTGTGCCACAGATGTGGTCTGCATCCAGCAGAGGTTCGTTTCTTGGCGACTCGCTCAAAGCCGCCGTTCGACATCCGGCGACTCACTCAGAGTCGCCTGTTTCTGTTGGTTGCGGCGGCGGCGGCGGCGACGGGCGAGACGTCGCCTGGGCCCCCTCGCCAGGCGGCGCGTGAGGCCGCTCCAGCGGCCGCTGGCCACAGTGCCAGCGCAGGCGCGCGTGGGGCGGGGCGGAGCGTGGAGGAGGTGGAGGAGGAGGAGGAGGAGAGCCACGGGTCCCAAATCCATGTTGGCGCGTGCCCGAAGAGGAGGTTCGCACCGGCCTTCATGGTCTGAGTGGGTTCCTTCCGTTGCCATCTTCGTTTATTTATCCCTTTTCGCTTCTGTGCCCAATCCGCGCCAGGACCCCCAAAGGGCCATCCCAACAATCACAACGGCCCCTGAAAGGCTCACGCGTGGACTTCGTTTTTCCTCTGGGGGTCGGCGGAGCAGCGTAAGCCTCTGGAATCAACTCATGTATCTGAGGCGCCAGCGTGGGCGCCTCTTGCCTGCCAGCGCCAGAGGCGCCCACGTATTGAGGAAAACGGAGCTACCCACGGATCCTTAATCTCGACGGCGAGCGAGGGGGGGAAGTGAGAAGGAGAAGGCCTTCTCAGAAGGCGGCGGAACTTCTCAGAAGCCCTCGCGCCTTCTGAGAGGTTCTCTGTGTCTTGGAAGAAGGTTAAGGGGACCTTCCGAGCCTTCTGAGAAGGCTCGCCCCTTCTCACTCCCCCCCCGTGTTCGCGCCGATAATCCATGTTAGCGTGTGCCCGAACGGATGCGATAGGGAAAGCGGAGTTACAAAATCTGCTGCGTGCAGCCGGATTCGGCCTCGCCGCCGGGCGTTTTCTTAAGTACGTGAGCGCCTCCAGCGCTAGCATTCGGTGAACAAATCAGATGCATGGGTTGATTCCTCTCGCTTCGCGGGGTGCACGTCTGGATTGCGGAGAGCACGGGAGTTTGCTTCTTTTGAGGTTTTTGGAAGTTTCTTGGAGACCTTGGAGGCCTACTGGGGCCTCTTGGGGGCCTATTGGAGGCAATTTGTTGATTCCCTGGCGGCACGGGCGTAACCAGGGGGAGGGGGGGAGGGGGGCGGTCGCGTCACGAGTCGCACGCGCAGATGGTGGACGGAGGGACCCGGTTAACGTTTGGGCTGGGAGCGGTTCGTTTCGTGGCCATCATCTGGAGCCGTCTTGGGGCCATATCGGGCCGTCTTGCAGCAATCTTAGCCGTCTTGGGGCCCTCTCGGAGCCCTAGAAGCAGATATCTTCAATGTTCCATACGTTCCGTCCGCCTCTGCTTCGGCGGCCGTCTCCTTTTCCTTTCCTCGTCTACGACACGCTCCGGCGAAGTTGTTTCCGCGCTCCAGTTTCCTTGTGCACGCGTTTGAGCTTTGCGACGCCGTCGACAAAAGTCAGAACAAGGCAACGCCAATTTCAAATCATGATGAGCATTGCAACAAGGCGCCAGCAGTATACAATTGCACAGGCCTGTTGGTTGTTTCTTGGGGCCGTTAGGGGGCCTCTTGGGTGGTCCCTGGGGTCCTCTTGGAGGCCTCTTTGGGGCCTCTTGCGGCCTCTTCAGAGCCTCTCTGGGAGCTTTTGGGGGGCTCTTGCGCCACCTGGCCCCTTCCGAGGCCGTCTTAGGGGCCCCTCGGGGCCGCCTTGGGGATCTTTTGGAGCCCTCTTGATATTCATGAGGTTTACATCAGTCTTCCGACCCCAAGAGGTAAAACAACGTTCACGGGTGAGGCTTTTAAGGGCCGATGTGATTGTTGGAAAGAGCGTGTTCTACTGCTGCTGGCGGAAAACCGGGGGGGGTCACTACCGGTTCGAACCCCTCCCCCCCCCTCCCCCCTCCGGAAAACGGGGGGGGGTCACTACCGGTTCGAACCCCTCCCCCCCCCCCCCCAGCTCATCATGAAAAGGGGGGGGGGTCACTACCGGTTCGAACCCCCCCCCCCCTCGAAAACCGAGTGGGGGTGCGGACAGTGGTGGGGACGGTGTTGGTGGGGACAGTGGTGAGGGGACAGCGGGACAGTGGTGGGGACAGCGGGGGGACAGTGGGACAGTGGTGGGGACGGTAGTGGTGGGGACAGTGGTGGGGACAATGGTGGGAACAGGGGGGACAGTGGACAGTGGTGGGAACGGTGGTGGTGGGGACAGTGGTGTGGGGACAGTGGGAATGAGGTGGAAACACTGGGACAGTGGAGGGTACAATGGTGGTGGGGACACTGGTAAAGGCGGTGGCGAGGACGGCGGTGGGACAATGGGACAGAGGTACAGTGGGGACAGTGGTGGGGACAGTGGGGACAGTGGTGGGAACAGTGGGACAGCTCAGTGGGACAGCGGAGGAGTCAGTGGGACAGTGGGGACAGTGGGGATAGGCAGTGGTTGGGTCCGTGGAGACAGTGGGGAGAGTGGAACCGTGGTGGGAACAGTTGTGGGAACAGTGGGGACAGTGCGACAGTGGTGGGGGCACTGGTGGGGACAATAGGGACGGTGGTGGAACCAGCGGGGGCAGTGGTGGTGAGGACAGTGGTGCTGGGAACAACAGTGGGGGATGTGATGCGAGCGGTGGTAGGGACCGGGAGTCGTTTGCTGGCGGTGCGTGCGAACCGGTAGTGAAAACCGGTTGGCCGGATTTTGACCAGGGCAGGAATTCCAGCCCCCGGGCTCCGGTGGCAATTTTCCACAGTAAAGCGGCGGTGGATCACGCTCTCTCGATTGTTGGGAGGGCCCCTTGGGGCTCCTAGTTTCGCCTTGGGGGCCTCTTGGGACCATTTCGGAGCCTCCTTTGGTCCTCTTGGGGGCCGCTTGGGGCCTCCTTGGGCGCCTGGTGGCGGTCTTGGGGGTCCGTTTTGGGGGCGGAGAGCTCGAAATATGAGTTCGAGGTACTCGTTTTGAGCTCCTCTTGAGGCCCTGCTGAGGCCCTCTTGGGCCACCCTGGGCGACTCTTGGACCGCCGTGGGGCCGTCTTGGGGCCATCTTGAGGGCTTCCTGGGCAATCTTGGAGCGATCTTGGGGGCCTCTTGAGCAGTCTTGGCCGATGTTGAGACCAGAGAGGCAAACATGCTAGAAGTTGTCGTTTTCTCAAGGGCTTGGGACGATTTTTGCTTCTTGGGCCTTTCTTGGCGGTCCTCTTGTAGGCCTCTTGGGGCGTCTTGGAGGCCACTTGGACAGTCTTGAGGCCATCGTGGTGGTCTTTGAGCTCTCCTCGGCGTTTTGGAGCCCAGCGTGAGCCAGCTGAGATGGCATCTTGGGCATCTTGGAGGCCACGGAGTGTAGATTTGTAGGCTCCGGAGGCCCTGGGGGTGCGATGGGAGAGCGGAGACGCCCCCCTTGAACGCGATTTTAGACCCATGGGGGAGGGGGAAAGGGGGACCCTCAGATCCTGGCGTTCCACTTTGTTTTCACACCGGGCGTTGTCGCTGGCGACTGGTTGCCACAGCCCCAAGATGCATCGCGGCATGCGCCCATGGTGTTCTGACCTTGCCTTGTCTTACCCGTCAGCGCGCACGCGTCATGAGCAGAGAACCGCGGTTGCCGGACATCATTGAAAATTGCTCCGCCGTGGCGCACACCATCATCAACACCCGCAGCCTGTTTGGCTCGCTGCCATGGAGCGAGCAGCTTCTGACGCACTGCCCCATGCAAAGCGGCCCGCGCCCTCGCTCGTGGAAGTGCAGGGGCACCGCGGCTGGGGGGACTCCCAGCCGCACAACACGCTTCGTGCCTTCCGAGCGGCTGCTGACCATCCTGGCATCAGCAGCGTCGAGTTTGACGTTCAACAGAGTGCGGACGGCCATCTGGTTGTAACGCACGGCGCCGAGGTGGGCCCCAGCGCGGTGCCATCGCAGAGCTTGGCGGAATTGCAGGGGCCAGACCTTGGACATGGTGAGCGAGTACCTCTCCTGGCAGACGTGGTGGACGTTTGCTTAGCGGGGCAGCTGTTAATGAATGTTGAGATGAAGACCGCGGATACCGCCGTTATCGATTCCACGCTCGCACTTCTCCGGAAAAAGGATGCGCTGCAGCATTGTCGTATCTCCTCGTTTCACCGCACAGCATTGGAGCACGTGATGCAGGCGGCTCCAGATGTTCCCGTCGGTGCATTGTACAATCCGAGCCTTGGCCCCTTGGACGCGGACGATCCTGCCAAAGGGCCAAGGATCCAGCCGACCCCTGAGGATTTCGCCAGTTGGTTCAAAGACCATTCGGTGATCGGTGACAGCGTCAACTTACGGCAGGAAACCGTCACAGAACAGGAGGTGGCCACCGCGAAGTTGCACGGAAAGCAAGTCATGGTTTGGTGCGCTTGTTTGAAGGGGCCAGGGTTCGAAGAGACCGCCGAGGAGTATCGCCGGCTTCAGTCCCTTGGAGTCGACGTGATTTGTTGCAACAAGCCAGACTTGTTAGCTGATGTAGTCAAATCCGCCTAGGAGGACTCTGTAGCACCGTGACGTTCACTCGATTCTTCGTGCAGAGAAGAAGGGGACGCAGGCGAGGGCGCGGGCCGAGGGCGAATGGCGAGGAGAATGAGGAAGGGAAGAGGAGACAGAGGAGGGGGGGAAGGAGGAGGAGGAGGAGGAGGAGAGGAAGCAGCAGGCGGAGGAGGAGGAAAGGAGAAGGAGAAGTCCAAGGGGGAGGAGGAGGCGAACGCAGAGCAGAATGAGGGAAGCGCTGACGACGATGATGATGATGATGGTCATTATGATGCTGATGATGATGATGATGATGATGGTCTTGATGATGATGGTGATGGTGATGGTAATGGTGTCGATGCTGATGCTGCTGCTGATGATGATGGTGGTGGTGATGGTGATGGCGATGATGGTGGTACTGCGGTTGTTGTTGGCGATGATCATGATGTTGGTGGTGATGGTGGTGATGGTGTCGATGATGGTGATGGTGATGGTGATGATGACGACGATGACGATGACGGTGACAATGACGATGACAATGACGATGTCGATGACGATAACGATGACGATGATGATGATGACGTAATGATATGATGATGTAATGGTGTAATGATGATGGTGAAGGTGTTGATGGTGATGATGATGCTGATGCTGATGATGGTAATGGTAATGGTGATGGTAATGTTGATGGTGATGGTCATGGTGATGTTGATTATGATGGTGATGGTGATGGTGATGGTGTTAATGATGAGAGTAATCATGATGATGCTGTTGGTGATGGTGATGATGATAATCATGATGGTGATTATATTATCATTATGATGATGGTAATGATGATGATGATGATGATGATGATGATGATGGTGGTGGTGGTGGTGGTGGTTGATGATGCTGATGCTGATGCTGATGCTGATGCTGATGCTGATGCTGATGATGATGATGATGATGGTGATGATGATGATGATGATGATGATGATGATGATGATGATGATGATGATGATGATGATGGTGGTGGTGATGATGATGATGATGATGATGATGATGATGATGATGATGATGTGAGGAGTTGACTAGAAGAAAGGTGGTGGGAGGGAGAAAGTGCACCACGGAGGTGGAGGAAGGTGGAGAGCAGTGGAGGAAGTGCACCAGGAGGAAGTGCACTAGGGAGTTGGAGGGAGAAGATCAGACAAGGAAACAGAAAAGGGAGGGAGAGGGAGAGACGAGCGGGAGGAGGGGAGGAGGCGTGCTGTCCAGGCGCGTCTCGGAGACGCGCCCGGGTGGCGGCCAAATATCCGGTGCCATGGTGGCCGACGTCGCCCGGATTTCCAAAGATTCGATGGGATTCCGATCTCGATCCCGCTTCTCGATTTGCTCTCCTCGGGTTTCGGGGGTTCGTAGAGGGTGGGTTATCCCAAGGTGGGGTTAGGGAACGGGCCCAGCTGGATGCTCACACTTCCTTTCTCCCAGGGGCCGTCTAGAGCGTCCTCTCCCGCCTCTCCCCAGACACCACCTCTACGCCCCCCCGAGGGTTGCGTCCAGCAGCCCCAAAAAATCGAGCCTCGCTCCTCGATGGCCTGCCTGTCCAGCTGGGCGTCGACGACGACTACGACGATGACGGCGACGGCGACGGCGAGGGCGAGGGCGAGAGCGACGGCGACGACGAAACGACGACGTCGGCGACGGCGACGACGGCGACAACACGACGAAACGACGACGACGACAAAACGACGAAACGACGACGACGACGACGCGACGACGACGACGACGACGACGATGACGACGACGGCGACGACGGCGACGACGGCGGGGGCGACGACGACGATGACGACGACGATGACGACGACGATGACGACGACGACGCGTTGACGTCGACCGACGGCAGCGGAGGAGGCGGCGGCGACGACGACGGCGACGGCGAAACGACGACGACGACGACGCGACGACGACGACGACGACGATGATGACGAAGCGACGACGACGGCGAAGACGACGACCTCGACGACGACGATAAGACGACGACGACAAAACGACGACGACGGCGACAACGACGACGACAGAAGAGCGACGACGACGACGTCTTGTCGGGTTGCTTCCGGAGGGCGTTGGGCTCGGGCGGGCAGCTCCCAAGTGACAAGGCGAGCGCTCGGTGAGAGCCCCAAGGGCCGGTGCGGGCCTTCGCGGGAGCCCCGCGCGGCTCTGCGCCCAGGAGGACGGCGTGGACGTGGTCCGCCACCCAGTGAGAGTGAATTCAATTCAGAGGAGGAAGAGGTGTCCCCTTCGGGCCTCCTGGTAGGCCCTCGTCGCCACCGCTGGATTCGCCTCGAAATTCTGGTCCGGAAGCACCCCGGGAGAGTAGGACAATTTAAAAGGTGCCGGAATGAACTCTCCGATTGCCCATCGGGAAAAAGGGGAGTCGGAGAGTCAGCCAGTCGGCCAGTCGGCCACTCGGGGAGTCGGCCAGTCGGGTAGTCGGGGAGTCGGGTAGTCGGCCAGTGTCGGGGAGTTGGCCAGTCGGCCTGTCGGGACGTCGGGAGTCGGCCAGTGGGGGAGTCGGCCAGTCGGCCAGTCGGGGAGTCGGGGTATCAGGAAGTCGGGGAGTCGGCCAGTCGGCCAGTCGGGGAGTCGAGGTGTCGAGGAATCGGGGAGTCGGGGAATCGAGGAGTCGGCCAGTCGGCGAGTCGGGGAGTCGGGGAGTCAGTCGGCCAGTCGGGGAGTCGGCCAGTCGGGGAGTGGCGGGGTGAGGGAGTCGGGGAGTCGGCCAGTCGGGGAGTCGGCCAGTCGGGAAGTCGGGGAGTCGGGGGGCCGGGGAGTCGGCCAGTCGGCCAGTCGGGGAGTCGGCCAGTCGGGGAGTCGGCCAGTCGGGGCGTCGAGGAGTCGTGGAGCCGTCAAGTCGGGGAGTCGGGTAGTCGGCCAGTCGGGATGTCGGGGAGTATGGGTTGTCGGGGAATCGGAGAGTCGGCCAGTCGCGGAGTCGGGGAGTCGGGTCGGCCGGTCGCAGAGTCGGAGATTCGGGGAGACGAGGATTCGGGGAGTCGGCCACTCGGGGGGTCGGGGAGTCACTAGGGAAAGTCGGAGAGTCGAGGAGTCGGGGAGTCGGCCACTCGGGGAGTCGGCCTCTCGGGGAGCCGGGGAGACGGGGAGTGGGGGAGTCGGCCAGTCGGCCTGTCGGCCAGTCGACCACTCGGGGAGTCGGGGAGTCAAGGAGTCGGGGAGCTGGCCAGTCGGGGAGTCGGGGAGTCAAGGAGTCGGAGAGTTGGCCAGTCGGGGAGTCGGGGAATCGACCACTCGGGGAGACGGGGAGTCGGGGAGTCGAGGAGTCAGGGAGTTGGCCAGTCGGGGAGTCTGGGAGTCGGCGGAGTCGGGGAGTCTGGGAGGGCTCCAACAAGGGTTCAAGAGGTCATTCTGGCGCACACTACCCCACTCTATGCATAGATTTGGGGCCCTAAGTGGTGGTCTCGCGCAGGGCTCGTCTGGGATTCTTTGGGGGTTTGTTCAGGCTTTTCCCTCGGGCCTTCAGACGGGCTCACGAGGGCCCCAAAACGGGCCCCAGAAGATCTTTCGGCGAGCGAGGCCCAACTCTATGCATAAAGTTGAGGCGCTGGGGTTCCGGAGGGTCCAGGGCCTCACTTGAGGCTCCCTCGGGGTCTTTCTCGGGCTTGTTTGGGCTTCCCGTTGGGCCCTGAGACGCGCCCACAGGGGCTCCGAAACGGTTCCAAGAGGGTCCCAAGACGGCTTCAAGAGTGCCCCCAGAGGAGTTCAAGGAGTTCTGCTGGCGCGCAAGGCCCAACTCTATGCATAGAGCTGGGGCCCGTAAGCTTTTTGGACGCTTCTGGGCTCACATGGAGCTCTCTAGGGGTCTCCTTAGGGATCGTTTGCGTATTTCTAGGGCTCTCAGATGCGCAACAGAGCAACAAGGGAAGCCCAAGAGAGTTTCTGGAGGGGGCTTCCCTGGGGTTTTCGTTCAGGCTTCCCTGGGGCTTTTCTGAAGTTTTGTGGACTTCCCTGGAGCAGGAACGCTTCGGATCAATTCGGCTGTGCTCAGTTCGGCCGGCTCAACTCGGCCGGGCTCAACCCGCCCGGATGGCTCAACGCGGACCCAGACGAACTCGGCCGGATTATTTCGGCCGGAGCTCAACTCGGCCCGGATCGGGAGTTGGGGGTCGCGGAGTCAGGGCGCCGGGGAGTTCGGGAGTCAGGGGGGGGAGTCGGGGAGTCGGGAGTCAAGAGGTCGGGGGGTCGCGGAATCGAAGTTTCAGGGAGAGGGGAAATCGGAAGGTCGAGAAGTCGGCCAGTCAGGCAGTCGGCCAGTCGGCCAGTCGGCCAGTCGGAGCGTCGGGAAGACGGGGAGTCGGGGAGGGTCAGGGAGTCGGGAAAATAGGAGGTCGGCCAGCCGGCCAGTCGGGGACTCGGCAAGTCAGGTTGTCAAGAAGTCGGCCAGTGGGGGGGTCGGCCAGTCGGGAAGTCGAAGAGTCGGCCAGTCGGCCAGGCAACCAGTCGGCCAGTCGGAAGTCAGGGAGTCGTGTAGTCGGCCTGTTGGCCAGTCGGGACGTCGGCTACTCGGCCAGTCGGCTAGTCAGCCACTCGGGGAATCTACAAGCCAGGAATTTGGCCAATCAGCCAGTCGCGGAGTCGACAATCGGCCAGCGGGCCAGTCGGCCAGTTGAGCAGTCGGGAGACAGGCAATGGGCCAATCGGCCAGTCGGCCAGTCGGGGGGCCAGGAAATCAGGGAATCGGAAGGTCGAGGAGTCGGGAAGTCGGCCAGTCGGGGAGTCGGCCAATCGGCTAGTCGGAGAAAAGAAGTCGGGGAGTCGGAGTCGGATAGTCAGGGAGTCGGGAATCAGAGAGAGGGGGATCCCACATCCGTCGGCCAGTCGGGGCTTCGAGGAGTCGGGGATTCGGTCATTCGGGGAGGGGGAGTCTGGGAGTCGGCCAGTCGGGGGGTCGGGGAGTCGGCCAGTCAGGGAGTCGGGGAAATGGGGAGCCGGGGAGTTGGCCAGTCGCGGAGTCGGCCAGTCGGGGAGTCGGGGGGCCGGGGGGTCGGCCAGTCGTCGGGGAGTCGGCCAGTCGGGGAG